CTTCTCTGTCCATCCTGAGGCCGAGTCCCACATGCAGCAACTAGAAGGATGTGCAGCTATGACATACAACTATCTACTGGGGCTTTGGGGGGGGAAATAAATAAAATAAAATCTTTAAAAAAAAAAAAAAAAGAGAACTTGTAGACTATGAGCTAAGTACTTTAATAAGTTATTATTATGACAATCTGAAAGGTTGATATTATTATCCCCCTTTGACAGATACAGAAACTGAGGCTAAACTAGTTAAGCCACTTGTACAATTAGCAAACAGGGCAGAGTTAAAATGTGTGAGCAAGCGCCCTAACTAAATTTCATGCACTTTCTCCCGTTTGTGAAGAGCTGTGGGTAGATCACAGGGAGGCCTGAATGAAGGCTCCCTTCACCCTCACTTCTGTACAACTTGGTCACCACGAATGTGTAGCATGCTGTTAGGCCAATGGGCGACCTCTGAGTAGCCCAAGATTTTTCATCTCTCCAGAGACCAGCATTGTGATATTATGATTTATAATAAATATATATTTGCTCTTAAGTCTCCATTCCTGGCTTACAGCTCCCAAAACCCTTGGAATTTCCTAAGTGATAAAAGCAATGGGCGTATCTTTTGTTAGAATACTTGGTCGTCTGTCATCAGTTCCTGAAATAGCTCCAGAGCCATAAAGGTGAAAGGAATGTTCTTCATAACAAACCCCTTCAACCACACCTGAGTTTATGTTAATGAACTAACTTTTGGAAAGGTGCCTAAGAATGGGGGCTGGTTGCCAGGGAAACCAACCATGATTAGAGGGTTGGAACTTTCAGTCCCACCCCACTGACCTCCAGGGAGGAGAGAGAGGCTGGAGGTTGAATCAATCATCAATGGCCAACGATTTAGTCAATCAAGTCCTTGTAATGAAGCCTCCATAAAAACCCAAGGGACAGAGTTCCGAGAAATTCTGGGTTGGTAACCACATGGATGTGCTGGGAGGCTGGCACACTCAGAAAACATGGAAGGTCTGTCCCCCTTCCCCCATACGTTGCCCTAGGCATTTTGTCCATCTGGCTGTTCCTGAGTTATATCCCTTTATGATAAACCGGTAATCTAGTAAGCAAAATGTTTTCCTGAGTTCTAGGAGCCGCTCTAGCAAATTAATCAAACCTAAGGAGGGAGTCGTGGGAACCTCTGATTTATAGCCAGTTGGTCAGAAGCACAGGTGACAACCTGGACTCGCAATTTGCGTCTGAAATGGGGGGAAGGGGCAGTCTTGTGGGACTGAGCCCTTAACCTCTGAGATCTGATGCTATCTCCAGGTAGACAGTGTCAGAATTGAGTTAATTGCTTGGTGGTGCTGGAAAAAGGACACATCCAGAAGTGTGAAATATAGAGACTGCATATGAGTAACTGAAAATGTGAGTTGGGCACTCTTTGCCACAGGAGGTCAGAGGTTAATAGACATCACTATTTGAAAATTAAACTTTGCCTCTCTCCCCAACTCCCTCTGGGGTGGCCTGGAGGGTGGGCTTTAGAGCCAGTCCCAGTGAGTACAAGTTGCAGTTCTGCTAGTCAGCAGCTGAGGGGACCTGGGCAAGTCACTTAAATCTCTCTGTGCCTCAGTTTCCTCATCTCTAAAATGGGGATGAAAAGAGAACCTCTTCTAGAGGACTGTAAAGCACTTAGAGCAATACTAAGTGCTCAAAAGTGTTTATCATCAGCATTATTTTGTCTATGCATTTAAACTTGTCACCTAACTGCAGAGCCTGCCTTTCCTCAGCTTTGCCACAGAACTGCCCTTTGGCCAGTATGTTCTCCCGTCTACCACAGTGTTATCTGTTGGTGAGAGGTAAGCAATGTCCTCCAAAGCTTACCACACATCTTCACTGACCCATATGAAATCAAAGCCCAAAGAGGTCCTGGTGGTCGCTGTACAGATGGGGACAATGAGGTCCCGCACAGCAGAGGGGCTGCCCCATCCACAAGCTGGTCCACCTCCCCTGGAAGCCTGGCTAATGTGATTACCACACAAACACTCTACCCAATAAGTTTTTTTTGTGTATGTGTGTGAGGAGATCAGCCCTGAGCTAACATCTGCCAATCCTCCTCTTTTTGCTGAGGAAGACTGGCCCTGGGCTAACATCCGTGCCCATCTTCCTCCGCTTTTATATGGGACGCCACCACAGCATGGCCTGCCAAGCAGTGCGTCTGTGCGCGTCCGGGATCCGAACCGGTGTCCCGGGCTGCCGCAGTGGAGCGCGTGCACTTAACCGCTTGCGCCACCCGGCCGGCCCTCTACCCAATAAGTTTTTGTGCCCCATCTTCTCCAGAGAGATCTCTTGTCCATTTGGCTAAAGAAGTAGATGAGAAAAAGCCACACTGTGATTTTTAAAGACTGTCCAATGCTAATGACAAATTACTCCATTTGAAAGACAGCAATGAAAACATTTTTAATCCTCCCTCCTTCTCCCTAAACCTCCATCACTGGGGAAAAAAGCCAGTTCTTTGAAAGCTGCCAACCAAACACAACAGTTTTGTGGACAATGGTTAAGAGGTAGCAGGCTTTTTCCCAGGGAACAGCTAGTGTTTTTTCCTCGTTACCTTGGTAACCGCTACCTTGGCGCCCTTGTTGATGAGCTGAACCACATTCTCTGCTTGGCCTTTGTACGCAGCTATGAGAAGGCGTTCTGAAAGCGCAGCGACCGCATCCTGCTGGCTCATGAATTAGGAGAGAGAGAGGTTTTCGGGAAAACGGTAGACAAGTTCCTTCAGCTCAACACGACGCCACTGGCCCAGGCAGGCACCCCCGGGGAAAGATGCTCCTGATCATTGGAAGGTGCCTTTATTACCAGGCCATCTTCGGGACCTAGGGTTACAAAACAAAGCTGCCATCAGCTCCACTCAGCACACAGGACAGGCCCCACCTCTTCTCTCTGATTTTAGGGCATTCTGCTGATTGCTCATGGCAGGGGAGGGACACTGGGGGAGGCAGGACAAGCAGGAATCGCACTCTGCACAGCAAAGCCCCTGAACGTTCCAGTGGAGAGTGGCAGATTGCGCCAGCCTCCCTCCTTTCTTCCCCCTGAGGGTCATTCTCCAGAGGACTAGGCCAGAACTGTGAGGTCTGCTCTGTACTTCTGACCTGGGTAGCAGAGGCCACTATAATCCCCTAAATATGGCCTGGTTTCTAGACCCAGAGTCAGCAGGTAACTGCACCGTGTATGATCACAAAGGGCCTACTGGACTGTGTTTTGTGGGTCCACCATAGCTACCATGTCGATGCCCCTGGCAGGTTAGGTGCCTGTGGACCACACCCCATAGAGACCCAGAAGAGTGGGTAAAATCCTTAGCGTTTTCTCCCAGCATTTACTGCAGTTTTCTTCCTTCATCCTCTTCTCACTGTAAATAGTGCAGTTTCCTGAGTTCTGGAACAGATGGACAGCTGGATGCAGGCTTGGGCCATCTCCTGGTTCCAATTACTGCTGGAACAACCCACCTTGGGAACAACACGGATGCTAGAAACACCGACAGCGTGCTCTGCCAATTGTGCTAGGAGGGACTAGTCAAATTGCTTCCTTGCTTAACAAGAGGGAAATAAATGGCCTGTTAAAACCACCTATAGGACACTAAGCCCCAACTCCAGAGCAGTGGTCTAAGGTAGTAACAAGAAGTAAACTTAAGCTCTCCTTTCCACCAAAAGGCCAAATGAATAGAATTTTAAAGACTGACTCCTCCCAGTAGCCCTAGGCCACCATTAGAGCAAACCAAAGCCACTGGTAATTATGTCAAAAGTGAACGGTTCTTTGGACAGCAGAAGGAAAGCTTAAGGATCTAATCCACTCCTGCTAGGACAGCAAGGAAGTGAGGTCTTCTTTGTGTTTTAAAAGTACTTGTTAAAAATACCAATATATTGGGGCCGGCCCCGTGGCTTAGCGGTTGGGTGCGCACGCTCCGCTACTGGCGGCCCGGGTTCAGATGCCAGGCATGCACCGACACGCCACTTGTCCGGCCGTGCTGGGGCGGCATCCCACATACAGGAACTAGAAGGATGTGCAACTACGACATACAACTATCTACTGGGGCTTTGGGGAGAAAAAGGGAAAAAAAAAAAATACCAATATACGCAAATGGAAAGAAAATGCTGTGCCAAAGGGAGCCCATTCTTCGGACCCTACAACACATTCTAATTTTGAAGGCCTGAAAGATACATCTTCTACTACATCTTTGCTTCCAGGCAAACCCAATGCTCCTTTCAATCTCTAAAGATTAAGGAATTGGCCATGATATGACTGGGAAAGGTCTGGACTGTACCCCACTCTAACTCTGTTCACCATGACATCCAGGCTGGCCATTTCACTACCCACTCTGGAAGGCTGGGGTTAAATGCTCTTACGTAAAACAGACAAACAACAGGATTGTGGTGAAGATTCAAGACAGTATTTTATTTTGTGAAAGTTGGCCATATGTGAATATTATAACTTCAGAAAGATAATTTTTATACCCCTCAACTTGTGAATTATCAAATTTTCCCACTGTCTCCATCTGTTGCCCAAAATGTGGGTAAAGACTAGCAAGGAAGGAGAAAGAAGGAAACTCACAGACCCATCCTGCTCTGATCACCAGGTGCCTTAGAAGCACGACAAACCTGCAGAAGGCACGCTGTTCCAGAACAGAGGTCTCCTCCATTAGTCATGGTCAGAGATTTCTGGGATGCACCAGAAATCGTTGTTGAATGAATGAGCCAAGGAAAGAATAAAGTTGAAACAAAAGAGAGAAATGGAGCTGGAAACGCCTTTGGAAATTCCCAGGGTCGCAGTGAAGGTCTAGTTTGGGCTTTCTGTTTCCCAGATTGTTCCGGTTTGGAAGTGGTTTGTTTTTGTAAACAGAGGATACGTTGTCTCTCTTTTTACTCAGGTAATCATGGTACCTTCAGACCAATTACACTGGGCTTCTGCTCTGTTTGCCCCAATACTGGAAAAGTACTCCAGGCCCAAATAGGAGGAAAATACCGACCATTGGCCTAAATGCTCTCCCTCCCACGACCACATTCTTCTCTTCTTTTACTCATTTGTTATCTCTGTGCACTAGCCCTAAACCGCCACCCTCCCATTCCCAAGCTTTCCTGCAATGAGCATTTGAACGTCTCAAGTACAATGGCCCAGTTCATACAAATATTATTATGGCTAAAATTTCACTCATTTCACTCCATAGCTTAGCTCCTGGGGATAGAAATCTCCTTGCTTCAACCTCAGTGCAGCCATCAGCCGAGGTCACAAGCTCCAGACCAGCAGTGCTGTCTGGTCTCCCTGGCAACAGATGCACGGTCAGCTGGCCTGTAGTAACTGACAGCCACTCCCCTCCCTCCCTCCCGTCCCACGCAATAAATTCAGCCTCTCAGACTCGGAGACTGAGAGCCGAGGTACCCTTATTGCTATGGCTGCAAGCTACTGAGATAGTCTTGTTTACATAATTACCTTCGGTACACAGCCCTTTACAAGCCCAGCACATTACTATTCCTTTTTTTTTTTTTTTTTTTTTTGATAGAAAAACTCTACAGTTGTGAGAAAATGTTGGCCAAGCAGAAATATCTTTTTTTTTTTTCTTTTCATTTACAGCTACTTAAGAATGAAATGCTCTCCACTCCCCATCCCACCCCCTCCACTCCAGTACGGCTGATGCAGAGGCCACCTGAGGCACAGGGAGCCTCCAGGATAGGTCACTCACGGGATTTTGGATACTACCCCCACGAGAGTGGCAAAGAAAACCGCCTGCAAAATCAGGAACAGAATCCCAGGTTTCCAGTTCCTAGTCGACTCCTAGTACCAACCCTGTTGTTGTTGGGTCTCTCAAGTTCACTCTCAATTTAAATCCAGTAACAGCCTCATCGCTAGGACCTCCAGCATTCACCTGCAGTTGCATTTACACACAGGGTGGGCAAGAAGGGACTCAAGTGGCTGGGTCTTCTTTTCTGCTTCCTTTCTGCACCTCCATCCTTGGAAGCTCAGCTTCCTCGCCACCTTTCTCATGGTCACTGCCCTAAATCCTTGGTATCCTTACCTCTCATCTACAACAACAATCCTCATCCTTCTGGAGTGAGGGATACTTGGCTTCTCATCTAACACCTCTGAACAGACAAATCAGGCCAGGTGGAGGTGGGCTGGGGGGAGAGGTTATGATAAGGAGGGATGGAGGACCCCCAACAATGAGTGGCGAGGGGAAAGGAATAGAGGGGTGGTGACCAGTCTACAATCCACAAGTTAAACCGCACTGCCAACCTGTTGGGTACCCAAGTTTAGCAGCCCTCTTCTCTCATTAAATCTGAGCTTCTTCTTCCGAGTAGCTCAGCTATCATTCAAGACACTTCCCATTGCTGGCGGGGAGCAATTTCTTCTGCCCTAAGTCTATCAATCTCATCCCTCTTTGGCATGATGCTCACTTTCACAACATTCTGGAGAAAAATCTTAAATGCACACATGCTGCCAGTTCTTTAAGCAGAAATGAAATAAATGCAAGATCATAAATATGCAATGAGCATCCTGAATCCAGAAAGGGATTTAACTCTCTGAGAAAGATTTCCCTGCTTCCTCCCAGCCCACTGCCCCCATTTCCATTGCTCTCCAATTTGCCAGTGCTTTTGTCTCATCACAAATGCCAGAGGGCCACACAGCTGCTTGGTCTGTGATGCAATCAGTTTTCTTTTTATAGCAAAAGGTCTACGAGGTTCGCTTTTGCTGTTTTCTTGAGGATTTACAACCAAGTCTCCTGGTACCAACATCCCAAAGCCACTACATTCAGTCTCCTGACAGGCAAAATATTCTAGAAGAGACATGCAAACAAAAGTGCCAGCCAAGCATTAGATACAACCCACCCAGAGAGGGTCCACAGGCACCCAGGACCGGTGGTTAGGGAGTGCCATCAGTTATAATAACTCGCTTTGCTCCTACCGCTCCAAACCCTGTGTTGAAGAGAGATTGTACTCACATCCAGGGGTCTGTCCTCCCCATTCTACACATCGTGTTCTGTTGCAGTCAATTCTTTCCTGGAGAGATCATTAGCTTCCTAGGGCTGTCACGCCCAGTGGGTCTGCAGCAATTTACGTTACAATGCCTGCTGCCTTGTTCCCTTGAGCTTCCTCTGCCAACACCGGCCAAATCACATCAAAAAGCTTATTAAGACATCCTTTCAGCTCGCAATGTTTTGTGGCTTCCTAGTCTGCTCGTCACAGCTTCTGAAAGTCTCGGGTCTTCAGATTTTGTTGGACTGCTCCCTCCTGCAGGCAGAGGACCTGTAACACTGCCCTCATTGAAGAGTCAGGGAATAATTCATGGATGGGTGGAATGCTTTTGAATGATGCTCAGATGACAGACAAATGAAGTTTGCCTTCTTTCAGCAGTAACGCAAGGAGAAGAGATGAACGTGCGTGTTGTAAGGGAGAGAGGATGCAGCAAGGGTCAAAATCTGTAATGAAATGCCTTCATCATCACCGTTAGGGAAATGCTCACTTTGTGGGAACAGCAGAGACCCAGACACTCCACCCTCCCCGGCAGAGAGTTCCAGCACAGTGACTGCAGCAGCGCAGGAGACAAGGGTCTGGCTGAGCAGCTGTTCTCGAGATTTGTAAACCCATAGTGTGTCTCACAAATCCTCCTCTGAACAGAGTCTCTGCAGGGAAGGGGGAAGGGAGGAGACAGGGAGAAAAGCTGTCCCCAAGTGCTGTCCACGGCCCTACACATTGCAGGTGCATCCTCCAGACCACTTGTTGAGGAAACAGAAAACCAACTTCCCAACTGGAACAATCACAGAAAGGAAGAGGGTTTTCATTTTGACTCGAGACAATATCACCACTTTTTCCTCACTTCTACAGCC